GCTGAGGGGTCAAAACGCCGTGCCCGTCCATAGAGCCGGAACGATCGGAAGATGAATAACCATCTACCATATCCGGAAGGAGAAGTCTATTGACAGGACGGTGTTCCCGGGGGGAGTCTGGTACACTTGAATGCGATAAATGCGATCCCACAGATTCGTTAGAAGGCGTTCGGTCGTGGAGAGAATATCGGGAATCACTTTCGGGGCGCCAGTCACTTGAAGAATCATCGATGCTTGATCTTTCATGTCGCGCTAAATGGTCACGTATCCACCCTTGTATACGACTGACCCATCGAGCCGCCACCTGCGCATCGGTGCTGTTAGCATTGGCGCTCAGGACATGCGGCGGCGGCCATTCAATAGGATTTTGATCGATTATGAGTAATTCAAGAGCCCGAAAGCCAGGGAAGTAGCTCGGTAAAGCCGTTATGCGATTCTCCCCCAGATGTAAGACTTTGAGATTGACCAGGGTTCCCGGACGCTCTGGAAACGCTTTGATCTTGTTGTTGCTCACATCTAGGATTTCAAGGGACTGCATGTCACAGAGCTGATAATAGGTGTCAGCAAGGCTGGCACGGCTTTCCAAAGCAAAGGAGCGGCATCACACCATAGCGTGTTCCGGGTAACCTTTGATAACGAAGGACAATATTTCGTAATACTCACTACTTCAGGAAAGCGACGGAACGCGTTTTGGCGCAAATTTAAATATCGCAGTTGCCATAGCATATTGAATGACGACGGGAGGCTCGTAAGGTGATTTTTCTTCAAAGCAATCCTGCATTATTAGTTGGAATCAGCAGAGTTCTTTTGGTTGCATAGATGTAATCGATGCTCACCGGTGTATGGTAGTATCGGTATCATCGTCATGTACTTTGGAAAGTTGGACCAGCTGCTCTATAGCGTTATCTGGAATCTCAGAAAGACCCAAACGCATAAAATCCAGGGAGAAAGGGGCATCCTCCTTTAACATAGCATTGGCGATGTGTGCGCTGGACAGAACGACACCGGTCGATGGCGAAGTCGGTACAGAATCATGGTAGGACATCGAAGATGCAAAGGGTGTTCAAAATATGGCCCGAGTATCGAAAACCAGCGTCCGCCCTACAGAACGCTGGGTTCAAGGAGTCCCAATTCGGACTTGGATCACGCCTCCACCGGGAATTTGTTGACGACCCCTATCCAACCACACCAGAGTCCAGGATAAATAATCTCGGTCACTTGTACTTATGGCTGGTATGTATCAGTACCTTCCTACTGCTAGAAATGATCGTTCACAACCCTGCTCAGCGATCTACACTGTCTTTACGAGCCCAAACCATGCTCCAATCCCAAACCATCTTCCTACGCTTATAGTGACCCCTCATGGTTAGTAGTTTTAGCATCCATACTCGACGGAGTCGCGTGCGCTCATGTTTAGCGCTACAGGTCAACCACAAAACATACTCTATTCCTATCTTCATA